GGTCTCCTTCATCTCCAAAAAGAACTATTGCAACATACAGGTATGGTCACTGCTTGTGCTCCACAGGTGGGAAGTCACCCTTGCCTCGGTCTCCAGCTGGCTGACGCTGGCCGTGCTGCAGGGGCACCATGCTGTCCCACTGGCCATGGCTAAAGGGTTGGCTTTAACCTGCCGCTGAGACTGCTGGATTTGGGAGTGCCAGCAGACAGCACTGGCAGCTGACCAGTGGAGTTTGCCTGAAGTTTCAGTTGTTTCTTCAAGTCTCTGAGTAGTCATTAATTCCCATCAGACTTTGTTGGAAAATCCATCAGCCTTGTAGCCAAAACACTGCTTAGCATACAGCTGTCTGTCTCCACTGAAGTCTAGCCAGTGGCTGCCACTTCGCTCTTCAGCAGAGACACAGTTACCACAGAAAATCACTCCCCTCTTTCAGGGATCCTGGGAACAAAGGCCTTTGTTTCAGGGCTGAGCTGTGGTTTGAGGGCAGCAGGTCAGCTGTACTATCATGGTGTTGGGAAGCATGGCATCGCTGCAGTAAGGGAGTGATGTTCAGTGCTGAGCTAATGTTGCCTCTTGTCTCCACAGGTTACCAAAGTGACCCAGGTAGATGGGAACAGCCCTGTAAGGTTTTCTACTGAAACCACCTTCCTGGTGGACAAGTACGAAATCCTGTAATGCCAGACGTGGTGACGCACAATGGAGGAAATTTTTAAATTAAAAAAAAACGAGGCCGACGTTTATTCTGAATGTTGGGAACGCCACAGCCCCCTCTGCTAAGATGCGTGGCTCTGTCTGCCATCTACAGTGTTCTGGGGTCACAGACATTTTTTGCAGAGAAGTGACGTGCTCATGGGGGAAAAGGCCACAAATTTCTTTGGCAGATTTTTACCGACTGGCAAAAAAGCTCGATCTCCACAAAGAGGCTGACTTTGACATACTCCCCCCCACCCCGAGATGCTCGGAGCTCAGCCCAGAGCCGACCAGACATCACTCTCTCCTGAAGCATCACGTGCTGTTCCGTTGTTGGTGCTGCCATTTTAATTTCTCCTTGGCCTCTGGTTCTCATGTGTGGGGCCACCTGCAGGTCCTGACCCTTCCATCCAGTGGAAGCTGAGCAAGTGACCTTGGCCTCAGAGGTGGGGGGGCTCCTAGCAGGGGTGGGGAAGAGGGACCCGGGGGTTCAGTCCTTTTGCCCCACACAGTTACTGCTGTTCCTCCAGCTCTGCTGTGTGGCAGTGGCCCAGCTCTGGGTGGTCTGGTTCCTGCTGCTGCAGCGGGGAGAGCGTCCAAATGGGACTGTGTCCTTACTGTCTTCCACAGCTGTTCTCAGGCCAGGCTTTGGAGGAAGTTTAGTTAGGTTAGAACCAGCTGTATATCCTTTGCAAGGCCGTTTTGGTGTCTGGGGAGGCTGAGGGCTTTGTCTGCCTGGGTGAAAGGAGCTGTGGAGCCTGGTTGACTTACTTGGCCTGCATATCAGGACCTGTCTCAAGTCAGTGTTGGTTCAGCACTGGCAGGTGTGGGAGAAGGAAATTATGGTTTCCAGGTAATGCGAGGGCTGATCCGAGCCATTTCTCCTACTGCTGCCTCATGAGCGTTATTTGCTTCATCTCAGAGACCTGTACTCCCCTCAGCTCATCTCACCTGCATGGCTGGGGCCTGTCACAAGTGTCACCTGCCCCTGGGCACACCTCACCTCTGCAGCCAGAGGGCCCGAGGGCAGGTGGAAGGCAAGGGCCCTGAAAGTGTGTGTACTGTGCTCTGTGAGAGACAGCCAGCCTGTCACGGGCCCCTGGGGTCCTCTGCCAAAGAAGTTTGTGGTCTCTCCTCTGCTGGCAGCACCCGAGAGGAAATCAACCCTGGTCCTGTCCTGAGAGGGCAAGCTCTCTCCCCTAGCAAAGTAGGCAATGAATCCCATTAACCCAGTCCTGTTCCAGAGCTGCTTGTCTGTATGATTTTTAAAATGGAGTCTAAGTTAGTTCAAGCATCCAAGGAGCTTTTTCTTTTCTCCTTACATTCATTGGAGGGTGATATTTAAACCGAGCCGAGGTCCCCACTTTTTGTAACCCTGTATGATCCTGGCCTAGGGAATAGAGCACATTCCAGTGTACACAGAGAATTCTGAGTCTTTAATCCAATAAAGTACTGTTAAAGGAGTCGGCTGGGGGTCGTGAGGTCCTTGCGGAGCTGGGGCCGGTCGGCCCTGGCCGTGCGGGGGCGGGACGCGCCGCCGCCGCTTGGGGCGGGGCCGGCGGTGCTGCGCGGCGGAGCGGCGGCGGAGCGCGGGCTCGGCTGTCCCAGCCGGGGAGTGAAGGTGAGCAGAGCTGGCAGGGCGTGGGACACTCTGTTTGTGCCGCAGCGACCGCTGCCCTCGGGGAGCCTGTGGGGCTGCGGTCAGCGTGTCCTGTAACGTGCGAGGATTCCCTGGTGCTTCAGAGGCGCCTTTGGGATGTGGTGGGGGCAGGAGAAAGCTCGGCTGCCTTGGCCCGTGTTTGGGCTAGGTGTGGGACGTGTTGGGGCTCCCTGCTCGCTGGGGTGCCTTAGGAGGGGTGCAAGGAAGGAGCTGCAGACAGGGAAGTAGGAAAAACACGGTCAGCCGTAAAACCAATCATTGCACAATGTTTTGGTGGTGTGTGGATGGGCTGGGAGTTGGTTCCGGATCCAGTGGTCCACGTCAGCGGTGAGTTTGCTGCTGTGGGAGCCCTGAGAGCAGCTTGGTGTTGGAAGGCAGCCAGACAAGGTTCTCCTATCCCCAAATCCTGCTGCAGCTCATGGGCAGTCACAGGGGGAGATGGCGTTTGGCCCAGGGCCGCCGCTGCTGCCTCTGACACCTCTTGGGGAGCCTGGGAACAGTGCTGGTCTGGCTGGATCCTTCCTGCTCCATGGCTGGCCTTGTTTACTCCAGCTTCCTGCCACACTCCTGCCACAGCCCCTTCGGCTCTGTCAGAAAGCCAGAGGAATCTGGCAGTCCCAGAAGGCCCAGCTGCTGTGCTGAAGGGCCACTGTCTCTCCCAGCCCTCTCTGAGCACTAGGCAAGGGCTGCAGGGGCAGGTCCCCTGGCTGAGCACCACAGGCAGTAGCAAGGCTGAGTGCTTTTTGAGAACTCCTTGTACGTTTGGGTTTGCTGTGTGGTGCCATGTGTTGGTACATGTGGGAGGATGGATTGTTGGAGAATAGAGATAGTGCTTGAAGGTAATCTCACTCCTGGGGAGTAGCAGCTGTACTAATTACCAAAGAGTAGGAACAGCCCTGCCCTTAATAGGGCACAGCTGTGTCCAATAAGGACGGGTGTTAGAAAAGAGTGGGTTAGGCTAGCTGGAGTTTGTTGGCTGTGCTGCGAGGAAGAAGGGTCAGGCGGTCATGCAGAAGAAAGAAAAAAGGAGTCAGTGTTGCAAGAAGCTGCCGTGGGAACTCACAGAGAGAAGGCATGTAAGTTTTACAGTAAGATAACAAACTAACGGTGACAGTCAGTTTCCATCCACCATGGATCGGTGCCAAGCACCCACGCCAGCAGTGTGGTGGCCTGTACAGGGATTGATCCCGACAGGTACATGTAGGGCACCGTGCAGGTGGATGGAACCACAGTATTGCACAGCAAGGGATCCTTGCTGGCAACCAGAAAGAGGAAAGTGATCAATGCCTGCTTTGGAAAGGTGAGGTTCACCCCACCCCTTTACCAGCTAACAAAGGGCTGGGTGATGGGTTCATGCCAGGAGTTGGATTCAAGACCCATCAGACCCATCCTGTGTCATGGTCCCCAAGACATTGTCAGTGGAGTTGCAGATGTTCCTTGCTGAGCTGAACCTCTGGCCTGCAGGTGAGAAACTGTCATTTTGATACAAGAGCATTTGGAGGAGCAGCTCTCCATTGTGCAGTCTTGTGAGGGGTCTGGAGCTTGTGTCTGTGCTGAAATGTCTGGAGGCACATGCTGATGGTGGGGTCAGGGCTTGAGCTGCAGCAGTGGTCGGGTCTTGTATGCCTCAGCAGCCCTTGGAGCTGGCTGGCCTCGGGGAGTGCTGGCTGCCGTAGGCAGGGCTGCACACTCTCCCCAACCTGAGCACGTGGTGAGCATCCACCCGTCTGTGCAGACCTGAGGCATGATGCCGGCAGGGCCGGGGCTGGAGCACTTCTGTGGAGCGATGAAATCAGCGGGTGTGGCCAGGATTCCTCAGCTCCCGGCGGAGCTGTCTGGTGGCTGATTTATGGTGGTGTTATTGCCAGGACCATGGCGTTGTCCCAGCAACCGCAATGCAGCCCCCACTGTCCCTCGCCTGGGTGGGATGGGGCTGGCTGGGTCTCCCCCACTCAGTTGTCAGCCCCAGACCGGGAGACAGAGGCCAGGAACAGGCTCCTCATTCGCCTCTGGCTTCGTGCAGGAGACAGGCTCCCCCTTCCCAGCGGAAGGGCCTGTTGTTTACTAGGGCAGAGGGTGTGGGAAGGGGTGAGCGCACCCTGAGTGCCTTAGCAGATGGGGAGCAAGCAGGCAGCCAAGTTGGCTGGAGGCTGCGATGCTCTGCTGTGAGCACCCTTAGCTCGGCCACTCAGGCTTCCTCCATGACTCATCCAGCCACCCACAAGTGGGGATGAGAGGCCGTGCAAGGGGATGCCATGCGCCTGTCTCTGCCATGCTGTTGCTTCATCCCAGCATGGCTGGTACTGCATGGCGTGGCCTGCCAGTCTGTGCTCCTGTGAGCACAGTCTGAATGTCCCTGCCCTGGCCGTGGCACACAGTGCAGCTCTGGGGCCAGCTGGTACCTGCTGTGGGGTGAGTCAGGATGTGCTATGCCCAGCTCGGGTCTGGGTGGGCAACAGCAGGTCAGGCAGGAGTGGACCCCCGAGCACCCCTGCCCTCGTGGCTTGGGGCAGGCAAGCAGACTGCATCCCCTGGGCAGCAGGGTGCAGGGGGGGAGCACGCTGGGGCAGCGCGTCTGTGTGCAGCCGACTCTGCATTGGTGAGGCTGGGCATCCTCCCAGGTGAGGCTTTTGGCCGTGCCAGGTGAAGAAAGGGGCTTTTGTCTTCCAGGAGGCCGGGGCTGAGTAGGCAGCCCTGCGCGGGGTGCACGAGGGCCGTGGGCTGTTCGGCGGTAACCGAGCCCGACCCCTTGGCATTTGCTGCCTCCACCGCTTCCCACGGCGGGAACAAGCGGCGCGTTCTGCAGGCGGCGGCGGGAGAAGAAAGGCCGCCTTGTCCGTGCGAGCAGTGGGGCGCCGGCTGGGGCGGCCGCGCTCCCGCCCCGCATTCCTGCAGCGGAGCGGCTGGAGAGGGGCTGCTTCCCCGGCAGCACGGGCTGGGCTGACGCGGGCGTTCCCTGCGCGCTGACGAGACAGGTGAGGGGCTCTGTTGGAGGGCAGTGTTGCGGGACTGGGGGCGTTGGAAAGCGATGGGATGCCAGGGTCACCCTCCAGCTCATGGGCAGGCAGGGCTGCTTGTGGAGTGGGGGGAGTTGGGTGGAGAGTTTGGGCAGCAGGCAGCAGACTCGGAGACGATCTCCCAGGTGGCCGGAATGGGGGTCCTCCACGGTTCTCACGAGGTCTAACCAGTACAACCATGCTGGGAAGGAGTTAACACCGGCACAAGATCCCACCCTGGCCCCGCTCCCTTCCTCTGCAGCAGCCTGGCCCCTCCTGGCTTTTCCCCTTCCTGAACATTGTGACGGGACGTAGGTGTGAGTGAGGGGCAGGGGCTCGACAGGCCCGCGGGGTCTCCAGATGCTGGGAAGTGCGGCACCCCAGTGCCTGGGGAACATGGGCACCCTGCCGCGGAGGGTCCCGCTCTGCGCCAGGACCAGGCGGCAGGTAAGGGAGAGCAGGGATCCTGCCTCGGCAGCCGGCGAGCGATTGGGAACTGCTCTGGGGGTCCCTTATCCCTAGGCCCCCCTTCCCCTAGCTGAGCTGTCCCCATCCCACGTGGTGTGGCTGTAGTCCCCACGGAGCCCTTGCTGTGGGGCCAGTCCTGCTGTTGCGGGAGGCGCACGGGTTTCATCCAGGTCCTGCATCCCACGCCTGGCGTTTTCCAGCGTTTCATTTTTTCCAGAGTGTGTAATAGCCGTTCGCTCGCCCCCGCAGCTGAGCCCGGTGCTGGACGAGCGGGGGGGACCTGCGGGGCTGGCTGGACGGGCGGCGATGCTGGCGAGAGCCGAGCCCGGGGCTCCTCCTGGCGGCCCCGGCCCCGGCTTCTCCTAACGGGGATGGAGCACTATCCCGTCTACGCTGCCCGGGAAGGGTTAAGCCCAGTCAGCTAGTCCAGGGCGGAAGGGAGGGACGTAGGGAGCAGCAGACGGTAAATTTAGATCCTCGGAGCGTCCCGACATGGCGTGAGTGCCGGGTGACGGAAATTGTTCCTCCTCGAGTTGCCTCCCACTCACGCAGAGAATGTGTGGCAGCATGGCCGTTCCATGGGTGGTGGCCCTGCCTGCTGGCCACATGGGCAAGGGTATGAAACACTCAGCATATGCACTATGAGCTGCTGCTGGACTGTGGGAGCAGAGGCATGTGACTGGGCTCTGGTGGCATGGACAGGGGTGCCCAGGTGTGTCACGCACGGTAGGCAGGTGTTGCTGGGGACAGCCGGAACCTGTGCTTGCTTGTGTGTGCTTTTCCAATGACAGCCATTGGGGTCTGGCTGCCCACAGCTCTTGGCATTTAAAGCATGCCTTTCCAACACCATGCCCCCAAAACTGAGTGCATTTGTAGTTTTGCTTCCTGGACTGTGTCTTGTCCTGATGCCTGGCTCATACATGAGTCTCCCTGGGTGGATGGGGATGTGTGCCTAGGTAGGATACGTGCCTTGGCAGGCAGGGATGCTCACTGGCTTCAGGCAGCTGCTGACATGATGAAGACAGGAGCTCAGGATGGCAAATGCTGGTTTGGAATGGGTAGGGTTTGTGCTCAGGCTGCTGTCCAGGATGTGCAGGAAAAATACATCAAGGCCATGCCCAGTGTGGTCACTCGTTCTGCCATTCTGTTTCTTCTGGCAGCCTGTGTCCGGTACCATTCGACGCCTCCAGGAAGGCACCATGGAGGCACCAGGCAGGACCCCCGCCAGCCCAACCCGCAGAGTCCAGACTGTCATCCAGGTGAGCACACAGCATCAGGACCTCTGCTCTGTGGGAACACGGGAATCTGATTGGGATTCCTCTGCAGCCAGCCCCACCACTGGCACTGCCCTCCAGCCTCTGCCCAGTCTCAGCCAATCCTATTATGGGATCCTCAGCAAAGCCCATTGAGCTAAGCGGCTGGCAGTTGGGATCCTCTTAGATGCAGCCCAAGCCCCATGGATCTCCAGCTCTCCTCAGTTTGCCTCAGCTTCCCGGGATAGGTAGCACAGGCAGGAGAGCCCTACTTTCCTGCGTCTTGCCGCTGGACAGTCCTGCTGGCATGTGTCTGGCATTGATCCTGGCTATGTGGCTGTTTTGGAGCAGCTCGGCCAGGTGGGCAGTGCAGGGGACTGGGCTGCAGTTGCAAGAGTGGTGAGCATCCCTCCTTCTCCTACAGAACAGTCCCCTGGACCTGATTGACACGGGCAAGGGGCTGAAAGTGCAGACAGAGAAGCCACATTTGGTGAGCCTGGGCAGCGGCCGGCTCAGCACTGCCGTCACACTCCTGCCGCTGGAGGAAGGTGAGTGCCGGGGGGTCTCCACGGGCACGCTGGTGACAGAGACACTGAGATACCGTCTCTGCTGGCAGGGAGGACCACCGTTGGCACAGCTGGGACCGACATCGTCCTGCAGGGCGCCGGGCTGGCGCCCCAGCACTGCTACATCGAGAACGTGCGAGGGACACTCACCCTGCACCCCTGTGGCAACGCCTGTGCCATCGACGGCGTGCCGCTGCAGCGGCCCACGCACCTCACCCAAGGTAGGAGCTGTGCTCACCCAGAGCCTTTGCCTGTGGAGCTGTGCAGTTGAGTATTGGGGTATGTGAGGAGCCATCCTGTAACTGCATATCCCAGCTAGCATCCTTCTGGTCTCTATGCTCTGCGGTGGGAACCTGCCGCGTTCTGGCAGAGTTTGGGAGCTGGCTTTGCTGCATGTGTCAAGTGAGGTGGGAAGGGAGAGACCCGGGTGGGCTTTGAAGAACAGCGGAGATGCTGAGCCAACTTTGGGAAGGGAGATGACAGAGGAAAACACCTCGGGTGGCCTCCCGGATGGCTGCCGGGACACGGCTGGCCTGCCTGCGTGGCTACAGGGCTCGGAGCC